CAGAGGGGAGGCTGGTGAGAATTTAGGCAAAAAAGATAAAAGGTTTAAGGGTACACTTATCCTAAGGAGCACTGAGAAATACAGAGAATTGTTCAATCATTACAGTGTACATCTGAAACTAATAAAACACTGTATGTTAATTATGCTTGAGTAAAAATAAATAACATAATTATTTTAAATAGTACAAATCCCACGTCTAATGTCACACAATCTTAACTGTCCATGACCAGATTGAAACTATTCAGAGTTAAATCACTGGTAGGGTCAAAAGGAAGACTGTCTTGGCATTCAGTAAACAAGGTGGGAAAGACACAGGGAAACAAACTATGTTTTTGGCAGTAACTAAGTTATACAGTGTAAAATTTGTTCTATATTAGGCCCAGGTGAGTTAAAATACCTTAGCAGAGTCAAGTGGTCACTCATGGGAAATAAATTAATTCTCCTGGACACTGAGGGTATGAATTAGTGACTTGGAAGAGGCAATTAATCTCAAATGGATAAGCATGTAACTTTAATTGCTCTCTATCCACAGTTCCCTTGCAGTGTAGTTTTATGCAGATAAGCCCAAAGCTCTATACTGATTCAAGACAACAATGTCTCCAGGTGGTAAAAACTGTTTTAGCATATTGGAAAAAACATGAACACTGGTCAAGGAATCTGCAACAGAGACACAATAAATACTAAAACTGAGACTATCAAGGGGGGCCTGGGTTGAGCATCTGACTCGATTTCAGCTCAGGTCATGATCTCAGAGTGGTAGGATTAAGCCCACACTGGGCTCCTTGCTGAGTGTGGAACCTGCTTAGGATTCTCTCTCTTGGCACCCCTCTCCCCTGCTCATGCTTGCACACTCTCTCTGAAATAAATATGAAATAAAGTAAAATAAAATACTATAGAATAGAAAAAATAAAATAAAATTGAGACTACTGAAAACTTTATGGATTTTGTTACGAAAGTTTTGTTTACAACAGTTAACACAAATTCCTCCAAGCAAATTAGAGGTGTGGCAATAAAGTGAAAAAGATGTTATATATTATTTAGGGCTATCAGATCTCTTGGCCTACTTCTCAAACTAATTCTGTTTTCAATTTTTTTTTAAATTACTTTTTATTTTTTTAGAGAGACAGAATGTGTGAGTAGGGGGAGAGGGCCACAGGGGGAGGAGAAGAGGGATGG